TTATTATTATTACTATTATTATTATTACTATTATCATTATTATTATTATTATTAATACTATTATCATTATTATTATTATTATTATTATTGTTGTTGTTGTTATTGTTGTGAACTTCAAAACTTGGTCATCTGGTTTTTTATTCCAGCTTCTCAAACCTAATCCTCATCTTGGCCACATGAACGCCTAATCAGCTTGCAGACTTATAAAAACCAATATTAACCATGCATAACCTTTTAAACCCACCTCAGCCTTCGCATGCCACACTAAAGCTTCCTGTAGCTTGGCCCACTCTTTCCAGACGTCTCAGACTATAGACTAGGACTAGATCACATACTGGTCAGCAGGGATTCTGTTCTCCTTTATGAGATACACTAAGACAGGGTGGAAAAACTGTGTAGGCCCACTCAACCACTGAACCATCAACATGACCCAGTAAACAAATAAAGAGAATCTGAGGTGTGAACAGGTGTAATCCTGTCACATTTACGCAGAATTACCCGCTCGATGCTTTGAAACATAACTTCCTCTGCAGTCACTCAGAAGCAGAAAATGGTTACCTGCTGTTGTTATTAGATACTAGTCACGTATGTAGTAATATATAACAGCTTTGCTCAGGAGTACTGAGTTCCTCATTGGTTAAATCCCGTCTTTCACTTCATTGTTAGCAAAAACCAAACCAAAGCTAACGACTGTCACAGCATAACTTTAAAGACATTTTAATTTCAAATAAACCAGCCTTTACAAGGATATATCACGTAACATTTTTGGTTTCAATTTGTTTCCAGTCTAAGAGATAATAAATGAGATCTTTGCTTTTTTTATGAAATATTGCCACATGTAGCATTTACTGCCCACTATTAATGCTACAGCACAAGTAACACGGAAACATTTTTCACAGTCTTTCTGTGTTTAATTTTGTGTAGTTTATCAACACAAACACACACACCAATAGATACATCTGGGGCAATTACAAGTTCAATATCTTGCCCCAAATATACTGAAGATCAGAGGAGCTGGAGATCAAAGCACCAACCTGCCAGTTCGTGAATGAGCCACTGCCTGAAATAAGCCAAGCAGCTCTGGATCTTTAGTCTGACCTCTAACCAAATCGGATTTCTCTAATGGCTAGTCCTAAATGTATGGAGCACAATGGAGCCTCCCAGAAGTTAGAACACCCGTTAAACTCACCATTTCTCCAGTGTTTCAGGGGTTTGTCCGAAGACTCACTTTTACTATCTCCACCTGCAGTCTTCCCTGTAGGAAACGTCCAGTGATCTGCAGTAGTGAAACCAGACGGTGACACTCCTGAGCTGGGCTGAGTGGGGGTCAAAACAGACCCTTCTGTGTGAACGCCCTCCACAGCATTCACCAGCACCTCGTCCACTTTTACTGACCACACTGGTGTTGTGCCCGGGGTGTCAGAAAATCTTGGATGAGTCACGGTCGGAGAGGTAACTGAAGGAGGAACGGTGGTGGTTTCAGGATTTCCCCAGAACAAACTCCACCACTGGCCACTCGCAGGAGAGAAGACGAGGAAGAAGAGTGCAAGGGAGAGGTGTGCAGGTTCCATCATCTGCCTGCGTCTCTCTCAGCTGGATGCTCTCTGATCTGTATAAGCGCAGATATTGCACACATGCAAACATATAGGCAAGGAAGATGCTGAGGGTCCAATTATGAGAAGTTCTGCAGAGAGTAGAAGTAATCCAGGAGATCCAGGTGATCCAGAGACGAAACAAACAAAATAAAAAGAGTGAAAAAACAAGCCGTTTGTCTCCCGCTGCCTCTCTCGTCTCCTTTCCTCGTCGTTATGACCTCTCTCTCCTGCCCTGTTTCCAACCCCCCTGACATCTCCTCTCTGCACACCCCCACCCTCCTTTTTCTCTGTGTAATTATTGACTCCCCCTACTTTGGAGGGGGGGACTCTACACCACAGCTGACTTGATTTTTCTCTCCCGTTGCCTCGCGGACAAGAAGATTAGAGCGTTCGTTAACTAGGCCTCAATCCTCCACCTCCTTTCGTGCATCTACTGCCGTTTCTGTGATCACACATGTGGTGTTATAAAGCAGAAACACAGTGGGAGTGGGGCACAACCATGTGGTCTACACGCAAATATCATCCCC